CACCCCCCCCCCCCCCTCTCAAAAGTTAAATGGACCGTTCTAAATACGAGCGACTTCTATGCTATCTACATATATGCTACCTAAGACAATTGACCATTGTATTTTACATATAATAATAATAATAATAATATAGAGTGCGAAATATAATTGTGAGTAAAAGTAATGAAACATCGGTAAGGCTAGGTCCTGCTAGGTCCGTTAAAGAAAAACAGTAATCTACGAGTAAAAAAGTGTAATAGTCAAACTGCAAGAATTGTCTTGTACTTCAATTTTGATTGCGATACATTTAAGGTATGATTTCAYGAAGAAAAAAYTTTCAACGGAGAATTCGAATATTCGAGTATGAAAACACAACCTCGTCTCCAGGCTCTCGTAACTTCGCTCATGGACTGGGGACAAGGTAGTGAAACACAAGAAATGTACATAAGGCGTTTCAATCTCATTRCGGTTTTCTGACTAAGAGTTCTTGTCTATCATCTCCGTCCACGTCGCCGTTCTTGCATAAACCAATGATTACTTTGACATTCTGGATTCCATCGAATGCAACACAGCCAGCACCATTCATACTTGCATCGAGTGCATGTCATGTGATTGCAGCCTCCTAATGCAAAAAAACAGCATTGATTATTTACCAATGGTATAGCGATACTCAATGTTTATCAACAACCTCATTATTATGTTAATGTGCCAACCATTATAAGAATGGCTTTTCACAAGKCGCTTTGTTCTAACAGCCAATCGTCTTCTGGTTGGCACCATGAATAACAAAGGCTTACGTCTCATTGAGTATCGATATATAGCAAGGTTAGATCTTGAAATAATAATCCACTGGGCCCTCGACACACTCACTCTCTTAGAATACAACACTCGTCACTCCGTCAACATAAAACTAAATAACATGTTGCTGACTTTAAAGCTGTCTGTTTCATTTAAACAAGGCATCAACATAAGCGTAAACATAAGCACTTTCGCGGCATCACACAAAAATATATGTATAAGCATTAAAATGGTGGTTACTAGCGGTAAGCTAGTGTGAGTTGCGTCGGTGTTTCTAAAGAAACAGTTGTGTAAAAAGATAAATTTAGCAACGTAAAAAGTAGGTGATAAATAACTTACTGACGTTTTAGACATAAATTCCGAACGTTAAGTCCGAAGTTGTTTCACCTACTTTTTTACGGTGTYAAATTTCTCTTTTTACACAACTATAAGCAATAAATCCTTGTTCACAAGAGCAACGTAACGCAAATGTTAAAGCATATGCAAGGTAATCAATATAAAAAGTTTTATCTCATGCGATRATATTTCCGTTTGGGTAGCTTGCGTAGCTCGACGAACATSCATCAGGAGTTTCGGAGAACAATGCTTCCGTCATCTTGAAAAGTGAGACCCGAATCACTAAGGTGTGCCTTAGAAAAACATTTCTTAGTTGCTAYAAGTCWACTAATCTATCATTATATCGTATAATATGAACTTGACATTAGCTTAGAACTTTTTAATTTCTTTAGGAGTTATAATTTAGTGATTCGAGTCCCACTTTTCAAGATGGCGGACGCATTTTTCTTCGAAACTATTAATGCATGTTCTCACTTGGAGACTTAACGACATAAGCATAAACACAAACACAAGAAAAACAAAGAAATGTCATCCGTGCCATTGTGCTTTACAACTCATACGAACTCGTACTGAAAGTCCAATTACTCTGATTGATTATGCTTACGCTTGTGATTACGATAAGAAGCATTTCGCCAACCTCGTTTCCAGTCCCTTATCCCTTTGACCCCAAGCGAAGGGATAAGGGCCTGGGATTSAGGTTGGCCTTTTGTGTCTCATAAGTCGAGGTTGTAGACACTCACCGCTTTTCTCAGTTGCTACTTTACATTTTGGACAGTTTTTACTAATTTGTTGTATCAAACTTCGAGCTTCTTCCTCTTCCTGTTCCCATCGTGCTCTTCGRGCACTGTCAGCGGATACTTGATACCTCTGCGAAGAAAATAATRAGAGGTACGTTGGCTACGTAAACGTTAATGGTGATTAGATGACTACGTAAGATGAGTACGTTTGAAGTAATTATCCAAGTTGTGGTCTACTGTAAGATTGCAAGTTATCATTACGATGGTTTAGCCTTCTCTCAGGCAAATCTTTTTTTTCAAAAATGGTGGAAACTATTAGCAGTAAACTAGTACGAGCTGCGTCGATGTTTGTAAAGTAAGAGTTGTGTGAAAAGATAAATTTAACACCGTAAAATAGTAGGTTAAACAACTTACTGACGTTTCGGATGCCAATCCTTTGTCGGAMATTTTAACGTCCGAAATATCAGTAATTTATTTCACCTTTTTTTAACATGTACGTTTTTTACGGTGTTAAATTTATCTTTTTGCACAACTAACTCTTTATTCCTCCTTCGGGCTTCCTTTGTAACGGTACAGGAAGCCCGTAATTCTCAATGATGCCTGTGAGGGAGGCTAACGGTGGTTAACTTACACTTTGACGAGCTGCTTCAGCTGTTGGCTGACTCCTTTGGGTCGGACATACGTGTCCTCTTTGATATGCCTCTTTACACTGACGGCAGAATTCCCCCTTCGTAAATAATAAAACAAGCATTAGTTAAGGTTCAACGTACGAAACCGGTTTGGTGAATACCGTCTTGCCTGAGGCACAATTGCCCTCAAATATTTTTATGCAGCACGAGAAAACATTGTAAGTACAATAGCCCTAACAATAAACCCTTTTAGTGATCTCTTTTACGCTGTGTTAGCCTCAAAACCATGTAATAAATTATTTTATTCACTAATAGTCCGTGCAAATGCAAGAGATTGGTGAGTACAAAAGACAATGGAAACTAGCTAAGGGGGGCCCGTGCCTGAGAAGTAGACACTCCCTGGATCCCCCCCCCCCCCCTTACTATCAAAACTTTTAAAGGCAAGGAACAAATACTTACTCTACATCCTCCTTCACATCGTATGGTCCTCGATCCTGCAGGAGGATACAGTCCCATACCACATCCTGGCCCTGGACACAGAACGCCTCCAGTCTGGAGGACGTACTCCTCTGTACCAAATCTCTGATATCGTTCATACTGGAATAAATAAATTAGATTTTACAACCAGAGACACTGGGGGTGGGGTGAGGTATGATAAATATGATAATAATAATAAATGATATTAATAATACCTGATTCTGTCCCAGCACCCTAAAATGATGAGCTTCTTCTATGAAGGCACTTGAACAGCTGTCTACACGAGAGAGAAAAATTAAAAAAAATTAAACTTGGATTATATCAAATAAACTTCTAAAACTATTATTTTCATCTCTTCGTAGTTTGTTTCCATGGAAATATCAACCTGTCAATCTTCACTTGTTTCAATCCTTGAAATATGCAAATGACGTTTATAAAAGCTATTCGTATTGAATTACGGCGAGATCGAAGGGGTTCATTTTATAATCAAGATTGTCTWTTCCAAGCTGGATTATTGTGGACAATATATAATAGCTCTTTTTACAGAGTAATTCCTAGTTTTCAAGTCAGAATTRGTTGAAGTTRGTGGAGATTTTGAATCGATTTGATCAAGATCGATTGGCGACTCGAAACAAGATCCGAGTCAATGTGTGAYTTATCCGTCGGAAATATGTAAGTATTAGAATTTCAAGAACCAATCTTTCCTAAATATCYCACCCAAACTATAGAAACTATCACTTCACCTAATTCAGAACAACCAGAAAATGGCGATTTTGATAAAATACGAACTTGCATTTCGAAGCGAGATACACTGTTTTCGATTGAATCGTTTCAAAAATATGCTCGACAAAGCGAGCGGGGAAAACAAAATGTTACGAGCAAAAATAACAAAGAACTTTCGGAATAATAAGTTCTAATAGAATGTAAGAACTTTGCTAAAATTATCACACATAATAATGAAGACTCTCGATCTCAATTCATGAAAATTAAAATTCAGTGGGTTTACAATTTGACTTGAATATTCGATGTAGAATTTAATAACAAAACCGACTCAAGCGATATTGAATCGCAAGAAATTGCAACCCTATAATATATGCTCCTTAAGTATGATATTTCGGTGATTTATAGACATTTTTATTTTATACATCAAGAGATTTTAGGGGTATATTTTAACAGAACACGAGGGACAACCCGCTCTTTCGAAAGCACTGTTYGTGACGGATTTAGTTTTCACGTCACGTGAYTGTTAGATAGCTACACAGGAAGCCCATCAGATTTGAAATAGTATTTCGATAAATCTTTAGGAATCAAGGCGATCGTATGGTGCAAGTCGATGTACACCAACAAGATGCAGCTACACCTACACCAGGACAGGTAAGAAATTGAAATTTAAAACAAATAATAATAAAAAATACAGAAAGTACTATGCTATTTTATCCAGGGTCATGCGTAAAAACTTTGGAAAGCGATAAATCGAAAAAAATCGATATCTACTGCTGGGTATTCATTGACTATATCGGAAAATCGCTAAAAAATGATTGGATGAATGTTTCTTCTAAAAAAACAAATTTTACTTCTTTCCAGGGTTTTATTTTTGGATTTTCTATACAGTCAATTCTCGGTACAATTCTTTGCGACCTTACGTAACAAGTGTCCGTAATAGTGAGTGTCCGTAATAGYGAGTGTCCGTAATAGAGAGTTCTTTTGTATATTTGATYTCTCCGTTATGTATCAGTCCCCTAACCTTGTCCCCTACCCCGGGAAGGGCCGCGATTAACACACCATACAGCTAAAGATTTAACGCTGTTGTAACATTATCAGTCAGAGGAAAGGCAGGTGAATAATGATGCCGTCGTTTCGTTCACAGTTCATAATGGTTGACCGCAATACTGGCGAGACAACCCAGGTACGCACCGCAGCTTTCACCAACTCGTCGCGCTGGACCGACGGTGAAACCCGACACTTACTAGAGATCTGGGGCACACGATACTCTACTCTCAGATTCAAGAAGAGAAACTTCAAAGACTGGGAGCAAATTGCCAAGGAATTCAACAAACGATGCGTCATCAATGGATCGATTGGCCTGGGACCAAGAACCGGAGCCCAGTGTAAAATACGCATTAAGAATATCTTAGCCGACTACAAGCGAACCAGGGGGGAGTATTCCGGGCAAAATAGCAAGCAGTTGTTTCCATTTTACGAAACAATCCACAAAATCGTGAATAAAGGCGGCCCCCTGAATGACTCGACTAAACTCAGTGAAGATTTAGACCAGCAAGATGTGAAAGAGAATAATCATGTCACCCTCCAACTTCCGCCGGAAGTGCAAGTATTGGAAAGACCAGCAGAGCAAGTACAAGTACCATCTACAGTGACAGCAGTCGTTCAAAATCCCGCAAATGCCGCCTTCGYTGTCCCCAGCATGGTATTGACGCCATTGCCCAATAGCAACACCGTGGCAACAACATCGATGGTAACCAATCACATATCTCTGGCACCGCTGCATAGCAACATCGTAGAAACGCCAATGGTTGAGTCGAACTTAGATCAAAGCAGTCACGCAGCAACTCAGGTCACGGAGGTAAGCAACAAGTCTAATAAAARAGATCTGGTAAAGAAACCATTACGCAAGAATCCTCGGCCGTACAAGGTTGTTAAATTGGCGCGAAAGGTGAACGAMGACGACAAGTTGTTGTCGGTGGTTCGGGAATTCATGGAGGAAAGACGCCAACGAGAAGAGGAACTTTTTGACAAGTTGTTTCAACAGCAGGCAGAAGCAGAGAAGCGCTATCAAGAATTCACTCTGAACGTCATTAAAGAGATTGGTCGGCTGTTTAGACCAGAAGCCTTTGCGAACTCGTCTTAAGAGGACACACTTTGCGAAAATAGACTTCTGAATCTTTTACGTCACTACTCGAACTTCAATGCATTGTGGGATAAGTGAAAACAAAAGAAATCCGCCATGTTCCACACATATCCTACAATGCATTGCGTATACGGTACATGACGTAAAAGCTTCAGAGGTCTATCTTCATACATGCGGAAACTGATTTGTTTGTTTTTGTTGTTGTTTTTTTTTTTCTTAAATATGGATGCATGTATTAAACACGTACATTTTGGTGGCGGAATACATATAAACTTTCTACTACATGTGGACAAGGCCTAAGGCTTATTCTCTATTTGTAAAAAGTCGTATCTGAAGCTTCATCCAAAGTAAAAACAATGAAATATTGTCCACAGTTCCATTCTGAAATCACGACTAMTGTTACCACCAGAAGACTGGAAACTAAATACCGSCATATTTAAGTKACGACTTCATATTGTGAGCTGAAATTTTMTGWAAACTTTAAATTGTAACTTAACTTACCAGTATCTCCAGGACATGGCAAAGTGTAWCCAATATTTTCATTTTGTACAAATTGTCGGTCATTCAATCGTGTTTCACAGTACATGCCGAAACATTCCAAGCACATTGCATGTCCCACATCACATGGAAATACCAACACTGGGTCCCTGTTGAAAAATTGAAGGCAACCTTGACGTCAGGCCTCTTCTACAAAGAATCTGTTAAAGGCCTAGATTCAAGTTGCGTTTCTCGTGCATGAATTTGATTTTTTTTTTTTAAATGGGGAGAATGGAACTGAAGCCTTGTGTAATTGGTTTGTTTTTAACCACTTACTGTGGTTTATGCATTGCTTAAAAATTCCATTTACACAACGGTGTATCTCTATTACAACTTAAGCCTTACACATTTCTATTATTATGAAGATTTTTAATCCCTTATTGAATATATACCATACATATACATGAGTATACATATCAAAATATGTAGTTTGCTTAAGGGATGCAAACCAGAGACTTCCTAGGGCAAAGGCTTATGTCACTCCTTTTTTTAACAGAATGCTCTTTTGTCTGAAATTATGACCTTTGTGGATTAGAAATTAACTAATTTTATATAAACTGAATGAAAAATAAAATTTTGAACCTTTAGGCTATAGTTTTTGCATTTTACCCCATGACAGCATAGTGTTATTGTCTGGTGGATGTACAGTWTGACGAATATTATTAATTAAAATTGTCAGTATCTGCAGTCTTTATACTAGCCTGCGTAGCGGCTCTAGGGGAGGGGGAACAGAAGGGAAGGGGGAGGAAGGAAAAAAACAATTCCCCTCCTCCACCAACCCCCCTCCTCTAGAGCTGCTATGCAGGCTACCTTTATACTTACATGATTTCTTGACAGGCTAAACAAGGTACATTTCTGATATTTGTCCTAATAAGGTATAATGCAACAGATCGTTCACCCTCCGATGCACGGTGTGTGCCACATTTGAAATAGAATTCCTAAATAGTATCAAAATAATACTTGTATCATTTCTTCAGCTAACTTGGAATTTGACAAGGCAGTTTATTGTTACTTACAGCTGTCTTGCCATGGCAACCACTTTTCTGACAAACCCCCTTAATTCTTCCTCTTTGTAAGACATCTTCCCAGCCTTGAGGATCCTGACATGACGAGTGAGTAAAATATGTGAGGTGCTTTGCATAAAGCTCAGTCACTTGTTAAAAGCTATTGTCTGCAGGCTCTTGTTTGTAGCCCTCCTCCACCGACCCCCTCCTAGATCCACTACTCAGGCTAGAGCCAAACTTGCCAGTTGGCTATTCCAGTTGGCTATTCCAGGCCTTTCTAAAGGATTTCAAGGAATGGCTAGATCCTAGACTCACCTGATTCAAAACCAATGTTCCTTCTTTACACATTGTACAACCAACTCTAAGCTTTCCTGGTTTAACACCCTTACATTCCCTGCAGTAGACATAGTACTGTGCAGGTCTAGCAGCACTTGGTCCAGGGATGGAGTCAATGGGGCTTGTCCCTCCCTCATCATTTAGTGTGATGCTAGAGAGTGGAACAGTTGTAGCGTCAACACTGATACCTGTAGCTCCTCCTTGGACTGCATGGATGATACTTTGATTTGGAATCTCACAGTCCTGGAAGTTTAGATTAAATTATTTTTTCTAATGTCCTTGAACTTACATGACTATCTTATCTAGTATAAACATACTAATGGTCTATCACTCATACTGCGCTGTGATTGGCTACTCTACTAATGGTCTTATTTTGTGATAGACCACTCACAGGAAAATCAAAATAAATAAATTATAAATTATTTTAAGGATATTTCAATTTGTTTTCATTATTTGACTGATTAGTATGTTTATACTAGCTCGTAGTTCACTCGACCTCAAGGTCTAATTGTTAATTATAGTTCAATTTTTAAAATCAATTGTCAAGGAATAAGTCATGGTAAAAATGGCTTAAAGGCCCACATGCACATTCTTGTCCCCAWGCCTCCTCAGTCAACTCCTTTTAAAGCTGGCAGTTGTCAGGGAGATGGTGGCAACTAAACTAAGCTGCTTCTAATTGTTACTTCTTACATATACTATATATCGTTGCAAATCGCTTATTGGCTGGGGTGCATGGGAGAGCCTTTGCATAATTGTCTCATGTAATGCAAAAAATAACAATATTTAATTGTAAACCAATCAGAAACAATGTGTTTCTAGAAACAAAGCAAACAATCACAAAGATTCTCGGACGCGAGAAGTGAGCTTAAAGTCAGTATTACGATAGAGTTACCATACCTTTAGAACTACATCATCTTTGAGTTCTCTTCCAGCAAATATAATTCTTATTCCAGAGGGATCGACTTTCTGTTGTCTTGCTATTTCCTGTTTCAATCTACTGATTGTCCAAGTCAAGTCCACTTGGACAGGTATGTTGGTGCTTGAGTTATACCGCACAAAGATGTGGAATCGTTGAGCCATTACTAACTGGACATTTATTTTGCTTCAGAACTCCTTTTGGAATTTATTGAATATTGTACACGTTAACCTTAAATCGCTGTAGAAAAAGAGCATACAAAATAGCTATGTTAGAGTATTTAAAATTTAAGCTGGCAATACAATACAAGTATTTCCGGGAAATCCAGCTCAGCAAAATGTCAGCTTCAAGATTTTCAGCTGAATTTTTCCATGAAACCATACAAACTCTTAATGATATAATCCTGAATTCAAAAGCTATCGCCCATACCTTTTATACAAGGAGCCCTCTACTAAAACGGCAGAATATAACAAGCAAAACAATAAAATCATAAAAATAAAAACTTTTGGTGCTCCACAATAACGGTTAGCGACCTGGGTACGAAAATAACACAGGAAACCCAATAGTCAAAGAGTCCACACATTTCAAGTTATTTTATTTATTTCAATGTCTTTTTTTTATAAAAAAACATATATATGGGTTTACAGACACATGAAATCTACTTTTTCAAAGATTTTGTTGTTGCTGTTTCTCAAGAAATATCATGTAGGATGCAGAGTAGGATGTATTTTGTTTGGCGGGTTTCCTGTGGTGAATCATTCGAAACAAAATGGCGGACGAAGAAGATCCTTCAGAAACTGATCTGGTAAAGCTTTATTCTTCCAGAGTTCGTATTTAAGACACAATTATCGAACTAATTGTATTTTATATTTATCACTGAAGGTTGATGAGCCATCTACTAGCTCTGAAAGTGCCAGCGGAAAGCGTAAAAGACTTTTCCATAAGGAATGTAAGTTTCTCTTTCAGAAAGGACAGAATAAACTTAGATTATTCTATTATACAAAGTAATATAGTTCATTGAAAATAAGTCTTCCAAGWTAAATTGAAACGTATATTAGGTTTAGTCGTAAAATCCATTAATTGTTCGATATACAAGGCAGACTTG